TTCATCTCTGAAACCTTTTCAATTATTTTATCTCTGTGGTAAGGGTCTCACTGATGTCTTCTGTTCTCTTCTCAAGCCCATTGAGTATCCTCATGATTGTTGCATTAAATTCTCCATCAAGCATCTTACATATATCTCTCTTGCTTAGATCTCTGGCAATGGCCTTGTCTTGCACTTTCATTTGGGATAAATTCCTCCATCTTCACATTTTGTCTGAGTCTCTGCCTTCCTCTCTGTGTTAGAAAGGCCAGTTATGGGATGCCTGGGTGGCTCAGTTGGTTAAGTGTCTGTCTTTAGCTCAGGTCATGATTCCAGGGTCCTGGGATCGAGCCCCACATCAGGCTCCCTGGTTGCAGGGAAACTGCTTCTCCCTTTCCTCCCTGCTTGTGCTTCTCTCACTATCTTTCTCTCTCTCAAATAAATAAATAAAATCTTTAAAAAAAGAAAGAAAGGCCAGTTATGTCTCCTGCTCCTGAAAGCAATGACCTTATGAAGACGAAGTCATGTAGTGCCCATGTCCTAGTGCTTCAGGGTGTGCCACCAGTGTGTGTTATGTACACTCTGCTATTTTTTATTTATTTATTTTTATTTTTTGTCTGCTCTATCCTTCAGGCCACTCATCTGCAGAAGCCCTCCTTGCTTGCTGTGGGCAGTGTTTCATACTTGACTTGAATGTGGTGAGTTTTAACTAGGTGTGCTTTGGTCTACTTGTGAAATGAGGCCTGTCAACACTTCCTCCAGAACTCAGGCCCTGTAGAACTGTCTGGTCTGGAGACAAGTGTGTGCAGGGGGTTGTGCTGGTCTTCTGGGTGAGGGGCCTATCATGGTGGGAATAAGTCAAGAGTTATTGAGAAAAGTACTCTCACCAGATCACAGGGTTTGGGGCTTGTTGTACGTAAGTTAGGTAGCCAGCATGGGTGCTGTGGTGTTTCCTGCAGGTGGCTCTGTGTTTATGCTGAGGGCCAAGGGAAGAAAATCGTGCCAGCCAGCTCCTTTGTTCCCACCGAGGTGTCTCTATGAACGCAGCCTCTCAGGGACATGCTCTGGGAAGAGTGAATACTCTTCCCACTTCGTGCCCCAGGCACTCTTCAGATGGCTGTTTCCATGCTGTCCACCTCTAGGTTGTTTGCCTGCCTTCTCTCCAGGAGTAGTGCAGTGCCCTCCAGTCTCTGGCCTGACTGGCATCTACCAAGCCTGCTGAACTTTAATACTCCAGGCTTTAATCTGGGCTGGTTGCAAGAACTCATGGAAGTCAGCCTCTCTCATTTTCCAAGCCAATGTCTTTGGGCAAACATTCTACATTCCCCTGTGTACTTCTCTCTCTCTCTCTCACCATTCTCTGTGACCATGGCTCCCTCCCTTCTGTAGCACTTGCAATCAATTTCTCCTCTAAACCATATCTCCATGCTTCCTAACTTCTTCAATGTGGTCTCTTTTGTCCTTTTAGTTGTAGAGTTTGCTCTGTCAGTCTTCAGATCTATTTCTGGGGTACTAATATGATTTGATAGTTATCTAATTATGTTCCTAGAATGAGGCCAGCCTAGGGTCCTCTTATTCTGCTGGCATCTTCCTCTCTTCCTCCCTCATTTCTTCTATGAAATGGGTATATTAAACCAAATAACTTTTATGGGCAACTTTAGCTCTAATATTATATCATTTTACTTCCGGGTTTTAAATAGCCCTGTTATTCCATGCCATATTTATGTATGGATGCATATATAATTATTGCATAATATACAGATATTTTATAAATAATGAGGCATTGCTTATATTTGACAAGAGCATGGGAATCTGGAACCAGTTTGCCAGAGGGGAGGTGTCTGGGAAGATGGTTAAAATAGATAAAGGGGATTAAGAGGTACAAAATTCCAGTTATAAAATAAATAAGTCATGGAAATATAAAAGACAACATAAGTAATATAGTCAGTAATATTGTCATAACTAATATTGTATGATGACAAATAGTGAATACAGTTATCATGGTGAGCATTGAGTAATGCATAGAATTGCTGAATCAATATGTTATACATCTGAAACTAACATAGCATTGTATGTTCATTACACTTCAATAAAAAAAAAAAATTCAGACTCTGCCTCTGACTAGCTGTGTGACTTTAGGCAAGTTACTTAAACATTTCCATGTCTCAGTTGTCTCATCTGTGAAAAGAATAGTGCCTACCTCTGAGTATTTAATGAGTTAATATTTCTAAGTTTCTATAGTAAGTGCTACATAAATATGTTCTTAAAAATGAACAAATTCTGGGGCACCTAGGTGGCTCAGTTGGTTAAGCGTCCAACTCTTGATTTCAGCTCAGGTCATGATCTCAGGGTCCTGGGATTGAGCCCTATGTCAAGCTCCACACTCAGTGGGGAGTCTGCTTGAGATTCTCTCCCTCTCCCTCTGTCTGTCCCTCCCCCTACTCATGTTTTCTCTCTCTCTCAAATAAATAAACCGTTAAAAATGAACAAATTCTTAGCATTTTACAGTGTAAAATTACTATATGCATATCTAACTGTTGTAGCCAAAGACTGAATGCAGACTAATGTCTCCAGGAGGAAATCATTAAAAGAAAATTACATAATTAAAAGAAATTACATACTTTTTCATGCATATCTTTTTGTATTAGTAAAAATTTCTATTGTTGTTGTTTGTTTTGTTTTGCTTTTTGTTTTTTGGCTAGTAGTAATAGCTAAGTATTTCTCTTTCTCTTTCAAGCCTGAGGTTGTATCATGATTAGGGACTTTTATGGCTATTAATAAATAAAAATGCACTTGAATTTCCCCAGTTAACTTGACTTTATATCACAACAGGAACTCAGGTTCAACCAGCACTTTCATTTGTTAATACTTCCAATGGAGGTATAGTACTTTACTTGAGGCAAGAGATAATTATTTTGACAAAGGAAGGATGCCATGTAGGCTACCCCACTTATTATTAATCACTAATTTATGAGTGTTGCAAATATAATGTGCTTCAGACAGGCAACTATTTTTTTTCTTCTTGTCTCACTGAGCTCTCATCCTGATTACATGAAAGAAAAAGTGTCAAGTGGTCTTGAAAAGAGGTTCTTTCCCTTTTTTTGAGAAAGTGCAACTAGAAAGAAAACAGAATTATTTCAATTTTGCTTCCAGATATCCAAAAGTCTACACACTAAATACTTAAACATGTACATATTTACATACAGGGAAAATGAGCACTCTAAGGAGTTGTGTTAGTTATTAGAACCCTGACCTCTTAGGTAGGGATATAAGTGAATGTGACCATGTTTAGGGTCTTTTTCTCTCCATGTTTAAGTGATCTGTGCAGTCATTTTGCTCCTGATTTTTTTGAAGTATAATTAGCATGCAGTGTTATATTAGTTTCAGGTGTGCAATATAATGATTCAATAACTCTACACATTACTTAGTGCTTATCATGATAAATGTTCTCTTAGTCCACTTTATCTATTTCACCCATCCCCATCCACCTCCCCTCTTGCAACCACCAGTTTGTTCTCTGTATTTAAGAATCTGTTTTTTGTTTGTCTTTTTATTTGTTTGTTTGTTTTGTTTCTTTTTTAACTTTTTTAGAAGTAGAGAGTGTGTGTGTGAGTGAGGGGGGTGGTCAGAAGGAGAGGGAAAGAGAATCTTAAGCAGGCTCCACACCCAGCATGGAACCTGATGCAGGGCTCAATCTCAAGACCCTGAGATCATGACCTGACCTGAAATCAAGAGTCAGATGCTTAGCTGACTGAACCACCTAGGTGCCCCTGTTTCTTTTGTTTCTTAAATTCCACATGTGAGTGAAATCACATGGTATTTGTCTTTCTCTGACTGACTGATTTTGCTCGGTGTAATACTTTCTAGGTCCACCCATGTTGTTGCAAATGGCAAGATCTCATTATTTTTTATGGCTGAGTAATATTCCATTGTATATATATACCACATCTTTATCCAGTCACCTATCAATTGACACTGGGTTGCTTCCATAATTTACCTATTATTAATTAAACTATTTAGATTACACCAAAATAAACAGCTTTTGCACAGCAAAGGAAACCATCAAATAAAATATAAAAGGACACCTACTGAATGGAAGAAGATATATGAAAATGAAGTATCCAATATTACATTGATATCCGAAATATATAAAAAATGCATACAACTCAACAGCAAAAACTCACAAATAATCTTATTAAAAAATGGACAGAGGACCTGAATAGATATTTTTTCCAAAGAAGATATATAAGTGACCAACAGACAAATGAAAAGATGCTCAACATCACTAATCATCAGGGAAATGCAAATCAAAACTACAATGAGATATTACTGCTGATACTTTTTTTAATGAGCTTAAGTATTAGACATGTCCTCTTACAATAGTTAGATATCTAGGCTGGTGTTTCAATAATGCTTTTCTTCTAAGAATAGACATCTAGAAAAAGAAGCCAAAAGAAACATAAAAAAGCACTCCCCTCTCTCCAAAATCTGCATCTTCCAAATCTGCTCTTAACCTAAGATTCAATGACTTTTAAGCTTACCAGTCTACAAATAGACACTTGCCTATTATTCATGTGCTTCATTTACAACTACGCTATTATTCCTTCTCGGTAAGTGGCATCCCCTTCCTCAATGCACACATATTACTCTCTACTATATGACTAGAGTGGAGAATATGTGCTAAGTGATATTTATTTCTGTATTTGTGTTTGCTTAATAAACAAAGTCAGGGTCAGTATGACTCATTTTTCCTTTTGCCTCAGTTTCCAATATGACTCAACAAGACAATATTTAGAAAAATATCACATTTTACCAAATAATTCAGAAACAGTAGTCTTTCATGTTCTGTAAGATTACATTCATTGACTGCAAGAACCTGGTCATTATCTGGCAATCTATCAATGGATCAGCAAATGTATGACAGGTGACTGGTGAGGGCTCTCAGTCTACTCTTCACAGAATTAAAAAGCACTCTTTTAGGGATGATGCCAAAATGGAATCAAGACTATTTGAGTACCTACTGTTTTCTCCAACAGTGGTGGAATTCCTTAATCAGACCAATAGGGTCTTCTGAAGAAGCCATGGGGAGTCTGGTAGGTTTTATTCATTTATGCCTGAAGAAACAGAGAAGAGCAGTGGTCAAGTGCAGCATGAAGAAGATTCTGATAGAGCGCTGGGATATTTCAGCAGATGGATAATGAGACCCCAAAAATGGATTACCATGGGCAAAAATAGTATGGAGAGAGTTATACTTAGCTGGTGGTGGTAGCAAAGTCAAGTGGGAATCCCTTTACCATCTGACATCTTTTTTTGACTTGGCAGCCTTTGGAAAGGGTGATAAATGATAGGAATGTCAGTTGCAGGATTCACGTGTCACTCCTTGATCGCAAGGAGCTCTTAACTGTGATTAACTAGCTAGAAAAATCCCACAGCTTCTAGTCAAACACAGCACAGTTGGAGGATAGAAACTGACTTGTTCTCAGGTGGGGATTTTTTTCTGAGTTCTCATAACCACAACTGCTTCATTGATTAATGAATACACATGGAGGGAGATACAAATAGTCACTGGATGTCAGTACAGCTAATGCTGAGATAGATTAACTTCCACAAAATCTACCTTGTAGGTAGCCTTGCAATGCTTGTAGATGTCTTCTTATGTGGGGTAATTTAGGTGCACCAAAAAACATACTCCACTCCTTTCTGCTCCATGTTGCACAATGATCTCTTGCCTGGGCTTGCCACTTTGCCTCAAATATCCCATTATAGATTCAGTCCTTTAAAGTATTTTGTCTCCAAGAATTTTTTTTAAATGACTTGTAATTTTTTTTTGAGACAGAGAGAGGAAGAAAGGGATAGAGGGAGAGAGGGAGAGAGAGAGAAAAAGCATGCGTGATTGGAGGAGGGAGGAGCAGAGGGAGAGAGAGAATCTTAAACAGGTTCCACACCCAGCATGGAGACCGATGTGGTGCTCAGTCTCACAAACCTGAGATCATGACTTGACCTGAAATCAAGAGTCAGATGCTTAACTAACGAAGCCACCCAGGAGCCCATCCAAGAATTTCTTAATAAATGAAAATACCACAAGGAGGATTTTCACATTAACCCATTAAGTGTAGTCAATCAAATACACTATTTTTCACCTTAGAGAGTGGACAGGATGAAATATACAAATAGAGATTCATTTTACTTTGTAGAAGAAGGGAAGTAAAGGAACATAGATTGGGACAGTCTAAGTGGTGTAACATATTAGAATTACCAGAGAAGCCAAATTATATCTTAAGTATTGGCAAAGAATTCCACAAAAGGGAGGAGTGGGCAGGAAAGATAGAAGGCAGGCAACCAACATAATAGCTTCCACCTAAATAAATTTGTGTCAAACTAGACCTTTCAGGAATCTTTCTTCATCTAGACAGTAAGCTCCTTGGGAAGGGGGCTCCTTTCAAAGAGACTAGAGTTTGACTACCAGCTTCGGTTGGGAGATCTTGAACCACTTGCTTTCTGCTCTCCTTCCTGCCCTGCCTCAGTTTCTTCCTCTTGTACAATGAGCGCAATAATGTATACTCCTGGAGTGTGTTGTTAAGATTACATAAGATATCCTAAGTAAAAGTCAGTAATACAGTGCTTAGCACATAATAGGTACTCAGTACATGTCATTTGTCTTTTTTTTTCTGACCTCCAACATATATTGGTACAATGAGATGTCCCAGCCATTAAAGAGACAGAATAACAATCCCTGCAAGACACAGCATAGAAGCAGCAGTTTGAAAAGTGCCTAGGGTATAAGGGAAAGAGATCTATTTACTAATCTCAGAACTTGTGCTGGAAGAACAGGGTTCTTTAAAATACTTCAAGAACAAAAGAGCTGGTGGGTACCATTTATCTTCCCAACCCCAACCTAAATAACCAGCCCTCCCCCCATCCCGAAACCAGTTTGAACACTCTTCACCTAGCTTGGTAACACTGAAGGCCCCATTCGTTGTTCTTCTGCATAGTTGCCCATCCAATCCAATCCACTCAGCAGTAGTCCCTCCAAAGTGACCCGTGCTCTGGGGAGAGGAAAAGATAATCACACATACCAGCTCAACTGCAACCCCAGCAGTGGGCTGAGGGTAGATATCTGGTCTGACTGCCAGCCTCTCCTGTCAATAAAAACCTCACTGGTGGCAGCACAAAGAGAAAGTCTTGTAGTTTGGGGTCACTGCAACCCCAAGAGACAGTGAAGGCAGACATCTCGTTCTGACTACAGGTCCCACTCACCAAGAAAATCCTTTCAGGGGACAATGTAGGGAGAGCACCCCGCAATTCAGTGCAACAGCAGCTGCAATGAAAGGGCTGAGGATAGGCATCAAGTCTGACCCAACTATAAGACCAAGGTAGTCCTAGACTGGCCCCTTAATGGTACAGGGACCAAAACCTGCCCACAACAGGCCAAGTGGGCCAATGCAGCTGACTAGACTGAAGGCAAACATGGCTCAGCCACAACAGTAGGGTGCATGCAACACACATGGAAAACACCCCTGAAGTGCCTGGTCTGGGTAACCAGGAGACATTGCTGTACAGGGCATTGCAGGATCTCTTCTTCATAACACCACTATTTTCAGGATAAGGACTATAAATGATCTTCCTAATACGTAGAAACAGATATAGGAAGTTAGACAAAATGATGAGGCAGAGGAATATGTCCCAAATGGAAAAACAGGAAAAAAAATCACAGCAAAAGAGCTAAATGGAAGGGGGATAAGCAACATTCCTGATAAAGAATTCAAAGTAATGGCCATAAAGATACTTACTGGACTTGAGAAAAGAATAGAAGATCTCTTCAACAAAGAGAAAATATTAAAAAAAAAGGAGCCAGAGATGAAAAACTCACTCAATAACAGAAATTAAAAATACACTAGAAAGAATATATAGTAGATTAGAGGAAACAGAAAAACAGATTAGTGAGTTAGAAGACAAGATAATAGAAGCCAACCAAGCCAAAAGGCAAAAAGAAGAAAAAGAAAAAGAATAGTGAAAAATGAGAATAAGTTAAGGGAACTCAGCAACATCATCAATTGTAATGACATTGGCATTATAGGGATTTCAGAAGGAAAAGAAAGAGAAAGGGGGCAGAAAATTTACTTGAAAAAATAATAGCTGAAATAAACCCTAATCTGGGGAAAGAAACAGACATCCAGATTCAGAAATCACAGAAAGCTACCAACAAAAGGAAGCCAAGGAGGTTTGCACCAAGGCACATAATAATTAAAATGGCAAAATTGATAAAGAGTTTTAAAGGGAGCAAGAGAAAAAAAAAAGTGTGGGAAACAGAACGCCACAACGACCACTGGTGCATGTTTGATCAGACTCCAAGATCTCTGAGAAAACTCGAGATTGCAGGGTTAAAAATAACCCTAAAGGATCAGAGTGGAATGCCCTTGGGATGTGTGTGGTCTCTTCTAAAGTACACAGCAGAAGATGTTTTGTAGATAAGAAGCCAGCTGTAAATAGCACACTGTGCATTCCTTTCTTTGTTCTCTTATCCTGTGTTAAGGTCCCAGTACAATGGTGTTTACAATTAATTGATTACAGCCAGTTACAGATTTCTTTACTCCTTCTCCACTCCCACTGCTTCACTTAACTAACCCTGTGTACGTGGAAGAATGTGCCTTACTAAGCCCCTGCTGTAAATCATTATAGACCTATGTCATTGTAGAAGGTATATTAGATTATGGAAAATAAACCTCGGGGCCTTGGGCTGTTTGCTCAGGGTCCCCTCTGTGTCGCTATACTGTCGTCTCTTTTTCTCAGTTCCTTCGCCACCCCAGGTCCCCGACTCTCAGAGGTCGACAAGTGGTGCCCAAACAGGGACCTGAAGCCCCCGTCAAGGAGTGATCGGCCAGCGATAGGAACCTTACAGAAGGTGGTAAGTAGGAAAGTTTATTACAGGGTTATGGGGCAATCAAATTCAAAAGCATCAGGTTTTGCTGCATTAATCATTTTCTTAAAGAATATGGAGCTAAAGTTACTAAGCAGCACATAGAAAAATGTTTGGAAACAGTAGTTGAATATAATCCTTGGTTTCCAGAAAAAGGCTCCTTATATGAGGAGACTTGGGTCCAAGTGAAAAATAATGTCTTGAAGGCCATGAGACAGGGTGAAACGATTCCCCTTGATTTCTGGCCCATTTGGGCTTTAGTAGGAGTGGTGATCAATACTATGGAAACTGGGGATAAGTTATCCCCGGCCGAGGTTGTTAAAGAAACTACCAACTCTTTACATACACATGAATTAGACAATGAGACTTTAGAAAAGGCTAAGACTGAAAGTAAAAAAATTTTCGCGGCTTCACAGTCCCGGCTGTCACCCACAGCCCCTCCACTTTTAACGGAGGACCCCACCAAAGATGATCAACCTCCTTCCACAGTAGATTTATTTCTTCTTAAAAGATCCTCCCTAGCTCTCTCACCTCTCAAAAAGGAACTGCGACGGCAAGGGGCTAATGATCTATTTATGGCTTTTCCCATAGACAGAACACAAGCTGCTGGTCCGTCTATGAGGGATTAGATTTAAATGCTTTAAGGGAACTAAAGAAGGCTTGCCACTCGTATGGACCCACAGCCCCTTACACTATAGAGATTTTGAAAGCTTGGGCAAATTCTGGGGAATGGATCCCTCATGATTGGCATATGGTTGCATGGGCTTGCCTTAAGCCACAGGATTTATTACAACAGAAAATGTGGTTATCCGATGCCGCCTATATGAAAGCCCGGGTGAATCGGGCTAACCCAGCCATGCATCATATTTCTTTTGAAATGCTCACTGGCTCTGGCCCCTTTTCAGATGTTCGAGAGCAGTTGGTTAACACTCCGCCTGTAGCCACAGTGCAAGTATCTGAAATCACCCTCGCAGCTTGGGGAAAGCTAACCCCTTCAGGGGAAATGGGGCAAAGTTATATAAAAATTGTGCAAGGCCCTACAGAAGCATATACTGATTTTATTTCTCAGCTCGAAATGGCTATTGACCGCCAAGTCGATAATAAACCTGCTAAAGAGCACTTGCTAAGACAGCTTGCTTTTGAAAATGCTAATGAGGACTGCCAAGGGGCCATCTGGCCACATAGAGAAACAGCAAACATTCTCGATTATCTTCGTCTAAGTAGAAATATTGGCACTCTTACACATCAAGCTCAGATAGCCTCCCTTCAGCTCATGGCCCTACAAAAACAACAGGATATAAAATGTTATAATTGTGGAAATATAGGACATGTCAAGAAGGAATGCCATAAAGCCCCAAAACCTAGAGCCAGTTCTCCCTTTAATACCGCCCCTAGCCTCTGCCTTTGTTGTGGCAAAGGCAAACATTGGGCCAAGGAATGCAAATCCAGTTTTGACAGGCAAGGTAACCCACTCCCATTAAGGTCGGGAAACGGGATGCATGGCCACCTCCGGGCCCCGAAAAACAACGGGGGATTCAATATATCACCTCTCCAGGAGCAACTTCCTGCTGTGCACATAAACCCTCTGTGTTATCACTCGGTCCCACCACCCAGGGAAGTGTTGCAGTAGATTTAACCACTCCTTTTACGGTAAGTCTTCACGCTGGTCTCAGGCCTCAAAAAATACCCACGGGTTATTACGGACCTTTACCAAGAGGAACCATGGGTCTTGTGCTAGGAAGATCTAGCCTAAATCTTAAAGGAATCCAGGTGATGACTAGAGTAATAGATTCTGACTATGAGGGAGAAATAATGGTGGTCACACAGACTCGGGTTCCTTGAACCTTTAAGGGAGGAGATAGAATTGTTCAGTTATTATTATTGCCCTATGTACAAATTGGTCAGTCCCAACAGATCAGAGGAGGAGGATTTGGTAGTACTGATCCTCTCATGGTTAAATGGGCTTCATTATTGACTCAGCCTGATCGTCCCTCTATGACTCTTAAAATTAGAGGAAAGACTTTCTCAGGTCTAGTAGACTCTGGAGCCGATATTTCAGTAATAGCCTCCCAGCATTGGCCTAATACCTGGCCCACGCAAGCAACCTCTAATTCCATAGAAGAAATAGGTTTTGTGATGGCAGAAGAAATTTGACAAAGTGGTGTGCCACTTAAATGTGAGGGACCAGATGGATTAGAAGGAGTTATCCAGCCTTTCATCTTAAATATCCCCATTAATCTTTGGGGAAGGGATCTCTTGCAACAATGGGGAGCCGAGCTAATCATCCCCCCAAGTCAACCAGCTAATCAAATCATGACAAAAATGGGCTATAAGCCAGGACAGGGCTTAGGCAGACAACGTCAAGGAATAAAGGAACCTATCATTGCCCAAGGACAAACTCATAGGGCTGAACTCGGTTACCCCTTTTTCCAGAGGCCATTGAGGAAAAGAGGCCTGCCCCTATTAAAATAACATGGACTCCTCAATGGCCCCTTCCGATAGAAAAATTGCAGGCCTTAGAGCAAATTGCTCAAGAGCAATTGCAGGCAGGACATATAGAGCCTTCTCAATCTCCTTGGAACGCTCCTGTTTTTGTTATCAGAAAGAAATCAGGTAAGTGGAGGCTCTTAATAGACTTTCAGAATGTTAATCCCATCATGGAGCCTTTGGGTGCCTTGCAGCCTGGGTTACCCTCTCCTACAGCCATTCCCAAACAATGGCCATTGATAATAATAGATCTTAAGGATTGTTTCTATACTATAGCCATTCACCCTGAGGATAAGGAGAGATTTGCCTTTTCTATTCCCAGCACTAACAATAAGGAACCAATGAGACGATATTAATGGACAGTTTTGTCACAGGGCATGACTAATTCTCCTTCCATGTGTCAGTATTATGTTGGCCAGGTCCTCAGACCTGTAAGAGATGACTATCCTCGATCCTTTATCATTCATTATACAGATGATATTTTGCTAGCGTCACAAACTGAAACCGAATTACAAGATGTGTATCTGGCCACTTCCCAACATTTGACTTCCACCGGTCTCTTAATAGTCCCAGAGAAAATCCAGACAACTACTCTGGCTTCTTATCTAGGCACTGTGGTAGATAGAACCACAGTGAAACCTC